GATAAAGTCATGCTTGACAAGTTATAATTATGATTGCTATCACACGAGTGAAATTAGCCTTTGTCTGAGTAAGATATTGAAGATGTAAAATAGATTATTGAAGGTTCAAAAGCACACATCAATTAAGATATATCAACAGTTATTGTTTACGTATATAAACCAGGTGTGTCTAAAATCTACTACACACTAGTCTCCATTCACTTAGCCGCGGGACAAGTCTTCCTCCGATGAAACTGTCATTTATTTTCCATTAGATTTTAACTTAGTCAAAAACAACCTTCGGGCAGGTCCGAATTGACCAGTGGTCATTTTGATGTTAAGATAATACATGTCGCGGCCATTATTTTATGACAACTGTAACGGATGGTTGGCGATACGACTGACCATGGTGACTGCTATGTTAGTACAACTGAAGTTCATACCTGAAATATCATATGTTAGGTACATGCTATGTACATTGAGTCGTTATCATCAAACCAATCATGTAATGTTGTGAAACATTTTATAAATAACACGGACATTTTTAAGAATAAAGATATGAAAAACGAGTAAATGAATACGGGAGTTTCTCAATGATAAGTTGAAAAGGCGTGTTAACTACTAAACACAGGCTTTTCGTTGTCGTGTCCTTGACCTTAGACGCTGAGGCAATGTTTCTCCTGACCTTACACACTGAGGTAATCTTTCCTGAGGCTATATCCAACTTTCTCCTATTGATTGTATGTTCGATTGCCCCGTTGTTTAGACTAGCACTCGAGCATGATGCAAATTCAATTGTCATTATCCATCTAAATTATTTTGTATTTATAATTTATACGAGGGTTATGTAGTAACAAGGCCCATCGTCTCTGCTGGGTGTATAAAGCATGAGAAAATTATCACGACAAAATATTTGTATTCCATTAAAAGGTTTTACGTAGCGAATTAACCGAAATATATAGTCATAACATTTACACAAGATTCCTATGGCATTTCACCTGCCTTACAACTAGCATATCGAATATTCATCGGCGATGTTGATATTAGTAATACCATTTATTTGTAATTGACTGCAGATTAGCGATTGTATTAGTATATACTGTATCTGAAGTCGGTAAAGCGAAGAGTGTATCTACGACAGATTGCGAATCCGTTTTATCAGGTCAGTACATATACATATACAATACATATATTGTTCCTTTTGTTTACTTTTAACATTTCCCTTGATAATGTAGGAATACTTATTGACATAACTCATTACAGAAATGAGTAACTAGTTGGTAGGCTGTACGGTATTTGTAGGAGTGAAAGAGATAGAGTGAAGACGTTAGTGTAAAACGATTCTATAGACGTGATCGCGGGCAAATTTTAACTGTAAAAAAGATATTGATCCATTGATCGTGGACACGTATCGCATTTCTGTGAAAATTCTTAAACATATATGTGAAAGTGATACATATACGTTTGGGGCGGTGTATAAACAATATATCATGTTTTTTCTTCAAATTATCAGTTCTGTGACGTCACTTTTGGACAGGGTTAAAACGCAAATCGTCCGTCTCTGTCAACCTTTGTATCTGGGAACAATGATGTAACTTAACACCAATTGATCAATCATCTGTCAAATTTCCTATTTACGGTTAAGTTATTGCATGACAGTACATACAACATAGGGTAATGAAATAGCAGGTGTCGCCAGCCTATTAAACAGCAAACAAAATCGCAAAACCATCTAACTTTTTTTCTTCAATGATACCGTGCGATCACCAAGCTTAACGCAATGTTAAGATTCCATCCTGTTATTCAGTGCCATACACTGTTTGCTGATGTACTGGATGATGTACCTATATGGTGGTAGTTAATGTAACCAGATCACATCCTGGGCATTTCGTCATTTCACCTGCCGCAAGATACCAGCACACGTGTCGTGTGCTCTGAATTATTCTAACGTTGGCCGAAAATACACTTTTATTCAAAAGCATTTTACCGTCTTCAAGATACGAGCTAAAAGAAACTTTACTAAATGTACCATCCAAAAAAGGACATAAAAACACCTCATTGCAGGTTTCTAAATATTCATTGTCCTTTGTTTTTTTAATTAGTTAAAACTAACTAACTAAACACATCTAATACTTCTTTTCTTAAAGTATCAACGTATACACATAATAAAGTAAAACAGGAAGGGTATTGAATGATATATCCTCAAACAAAACATCATTTTGTTTCAATATATGTAAAGATCACTGATTCGCCCCATACGGTCCATTAACGACATTAGCCTGGATAAGGTATGACGGTTAGGAGTATTCCACAAGTTCGGCAAAAAGAACCATCAATTTATTAATTACTCATTATAACTGTCTCGATAATGACGTGTTGCATTTTATAGAATTGTAGTTATTTCAAAGAGTATTTCAAAACATATGTATGTAAAAAAAAATACAAAAAAAATAAAGGGATGTAGGTTCGACATCTATACATTGCGAACCCAACACTTTTCCAATGTGCTATCAAGCAATTATGAATGCGCAGCATCAGACATTGACAATGAAAAATAACTCTAAGAAATTAGCATACTCCTGGTCACGGTAAGATCTACGTCGGTATTATTACACGTTTAGACTTTCTCGGACTACTGTAAGGTATAGTATTTATTTTGTTTTGTTATTTTACTGAATACTTTCCTCTCTCGGCCTATTGCAGTATTGTAGTCAAATGTTGTAAACCAACAGAATAAAACACAAAATGTTTCTTATATAGTGCATACTACATGTATCTCTTCCACACTGGTAAATCAGCACTTCCTGTCACGTTTACATGTATTTGCCATACATAATGATATATCATACTCATAACACAAACAAGTAATTCCTAAATATGATATAGCTGGCGGTAGTTCTCCGAGAATGTCTTGATAAGGCAATATTTGTTTTGAGGCTACGTTCATATAATGCCATGCTTACAGTGTGGGCCTGTGATGTGATGATGAGTCGCTGCGACTTCAACCATAGCATGACAATAACAGAGGTTGACATTTAATTTACAAGTAATATGCATTACTGATGAATTTTCCTACATTTAAGGATCAATTTAGTAACAGAAAACAACATATTATTGGCAATGGTTCAGAATCTACATTAGCTCCTGTCAATAATTGAGGCCCTATAGGTACATCTAAGAACCGATTGAAATCTTAATAGCTACATTGTAACGATAATGAAGACGATTTAAAGTCATTTATTTAAAGACGGTACTTTTCTTTACAGTTGTAAGCCAGCTTATTGATGCCATCGTCACATTAAAAAGTGCTCTTCATCTCCAACCGCCAAATGGCTACAGTGATGCTTCTTTTAACCATTAAAACTTCATCTTTCATTATTTCGGAAGAATAATTTCCCATCCAGATCAAGGAACACCAATAACAAAAGCTTTGAGCGGTAATGGTTAACCAGATTACATAACGGTTGCATTTTCTATGATTGAAAATTCTGCGTAAACTTAATTAAAACTGGATATATTATTGTATTCTTCACCACAATGAGGCGACATAATACGAAGTTACATGAATCTCTTCCAGTAAAGTTTTAAAAATATAAAGCTTTTAATGCTACTAGAACAGTAACGGGTACATTTGTACATCAAAACCATTTAAGTTTACAGAGTTGTTTTTGATGGCAGATGTAAAACACTTTATGTCGATGTGAAAATTCCAGACTTATTTAACAACGATTCATCACCTTCCTATGTATCAGACTCTAGGTACAAGCCTAGTCTGGTGTCTCGTGTAAGATTACTATACTACCTAGTTTACCAATCACTTATTACCAATAACGTGGCTTTATCACGTCTCACAATATAATGTTACAATGAATTGATATAGTTCATATTGAATTGATATAGTTTATATAAACTAAAAACCTTTGTATATTATTTGAATGCGATAAAGAGGTTAACACAAAAGGAGCTCAGACATTTTTCCTTATTGAAAATGACCTATGAACTTTCCCTTCTTGACAGTGACATGCATTTTCCCTTAATTTCCGCGACTTGCGGCTTGTCGATGTTTTCCTTGGTTTCTTATCAACAGTGTTATTTACTTTTGAATACAAATGATCTCGTATTCATTCAGTCCTGGGCTTTTTTGATGGCATATCACATTTTACTAAGACTCCTGGGCCCGTATTCATGAGCTAGTTTGAATGCTTAAGCATTGATTTTGTTCCCAAAACAGTTTCTTGTAACCTGCTTAAATCATGTGACAGACAGTCAAAAAATCAAGTGGTAACATTGAAAATTGGCTTTATGTCTCTCATAAATTCTTTCAAATAATTGAGAAACTGTGATTGTTTTATCAAATTATCTTTGGAAAAAGAAAATGAACTTTAGCACAGAATCTGAGTTTGAGCATTAAAATGCTTTCGTGAATACGGGCCTTTATTTCTCCCAGTCAGCCTAAAACACTTCCAGGCTTAAAACGACAGCACTGTAAGTTCGTAATAAACCATATCCTCATGGTAAGATGCTATTTACATTTAAACATTCTTTCAGACTGTTTCTTTTTTTCAGCAATCGAGAGAAACACATATACAGTGTACATGACCCGTAGATGTGGCGATAGTAGCATGTTATTGTCAACGGCGCCGAAATCATTTCTAATGGTACACGTATGTTTTATTAAAGGAGTTAATGAAATTGTCACAAACCAAATCTAATTACGATATAACACGTTAGTTGGTTTGTTCAGGGTAGTAATAGCTGTAAGTGTGAGACACAATATTCTGAACTTGACCAGTCGGTTCAATTAATACACGGGAGAAACGTCGCTGCGAAAAACCTAAATTGTACATGTACCTTGCAACATAAACAGAGTAATTATTACGATATCATTTATATTGCCTATTTTCATTAAATACATTTGTACACCAGGGTTTGACATTGTATTTTTAGTTAACGCATTACTATCTCTGCTTACAAAACAAATAATATGTATAACCAATAGCATGTAAACAAGTGCCACCCACCTTAATAGCTGTGCGGTAAATCTCGCCGCCCGATGACAACACTCAGCTTGTCATTATATGTCCTCTACAATTAACACTGTCCCTATTTATCATCCAGATGGGAAGGCTCCTCAATTCTTATTAAGTACGTCCACTGGAGTTGGCAGCAGGCCCTCGGCTAAACCACTCAGTCCATCATGTGGTCAGTATCACGGACTACTAGCCTGGCTGTACTGACCAGCGGTACACCGGTTATCGGTATAGGACTGGTACGGGTAGGAGTGCTAGAGTAGCACTACTCGTAGCCTGACGAATCAGTAGCGAGTGCATGTTCACTGATCGATGTTTGTAGAAACATCAAATACGAAAGAGACGAAAGCAGCAATGTCAACAGGAACAAATAAGTTAACAACAGCAGAAAACAAAATACGATAGAAAACAGCCAGTCAGGTAGATGACGTCTGGCATAGTTTTACACGATATCTCAAGTCCATATTACGACTGTACAATGTTGTAGTATTAAATTAACCCCCCATTCTACAAGTAGCTAACCAAGACCTTCCAATCGGCACTATGACCGCGAATTGCCTTCGATTTGTTATGGTAAAGAGAATACATACATTGAACCGTCATTAGAGATCAAGGAATTTCGGAAGCATTATTTTCCTAGGGTTTAAGTCAACACGCAGCCCTTTTTAGTGAGTCTGGAGCAGAGCTCAACAACAAGTCCATCTACGGGGGCGGATTTGTGCCATTTCGTCTCCTCGTTCTTTGTTTTACGAAAGGGCGGGAATTAAGGTCGCTAATAAGCGGATATGTACTATATAATTTTTTCGACCGTTTGCGCAGTATTTGTTGTCCTTTCGTCCTTTCGCATATTCATATAAACTAAAGGACGAAAATTAGAAAACATAAAATCATGCCATCTTGATCTGAGAAAAGGACAAAGTGTGAGAATTAGAAAGTGTTCTATTCTCATTCTTTTGGTGCGAAAGAACGAGAAAGAGCATCCCTTTAGGACCGAGGAAAAAGAAATTGTTTAATATCGTCTTTCCTTCTGGGTAAAAGAACGATAACTGTAATCGACACCAATCAGCCGCCGTAATGATCAGGGATGAGAGTAGTATAGATGTAAAGAGCGGAAAGGGACGGGTATCGCACGATCTTATCAGAAATGTTCATGTCACTGATACAACATCTATAATTAGGGAGCCAGCATCAGCAGCTAGAAAACTTAGCAATGGATGCTCCTCATAACCACGAATGCCTATACAGTCAGCGTCGACCTGGTGGAGAGGTTCAATGAAAGTTAAATAAATCAACGGTAAAGATCTGTCATTCGCAGAAATCGCTCAAATAATACCATGGATGATATATCCGGTAAACTCCCGGCGTCAGAGTGTCAGTGCGAGTCCAATAAACATAACGCAAGCGTACTTATGTTCAATTTGCAGCCAAAATTGGGAATCATACAAACATTCCAACATTTTAATTTGATTTATCCACTGGACCACGTTTTGCTTTCATGTACCCACTAGATGTGTAGCCAGGTTGGAACTAAGCGTACTTGCGAATTCTTGGCGAAAAGTCAAATGTAGTCAAACAAATACTGTTATATAGTAGCTTTTACAGACTCAGTTATAACGATGTTTCAATAGATAAAACTGGGCTAAATCTGCAGAGTCCTACCTGCCATGGCAAAAGCTTGACTAATAACGGCGGTACAAAATACAAATATACATTTACAACTCTCGTTAACTCTCCTACAAAAACGATTTTCACACGATGGTACGTGGAATCAAGACTATTGAGAAATTTGCTATTTTGTTGTAAAGATCGACGCCAGAAAATTATAGATATTTATCCTTTTACAGGCATTTTGGTGACCCAGTTACCGGTAAATACCAGCATCAAGGCAGGTTAAGAGATACAAGCACGGCGGTGTTTGTGAAGATTTCATTACGAGTGGAATAAACATTTTGCCTTGGTAATTGTTCCTGAAATCCCGTATTTGATTAGCATACAACAACCAGCCTAATATAAAAATATCGACGGAAATTATTGAAGCGCACTAGACCAACTTTCGTAAATCATAGCAATACAAAAAAACTTTGCATTTAAGTGAATCGATTAATATGTAATTACATTCACTACTCCCAATTTTATACACAGAAATAATTTTAATCCGTTCTTACATCTATTTTACCTTGCAAAACTAATTTCCTGTAAACATATTGTCGATACAAAACTTGTAGATGACGTCATCAGCATTATGACGGGGTTTCGGAGTAAATTCTTGCTTGCCTTAGTGACCTGTACAACCCGAAACCCGGTGTCTATTTGTATAGCTTGGTAGACTGAGACAAACAGATACAGTTACTTCTTCAAGGACACAATCATATCGCTCACTTCTGCAGACGCGCGCGGTTCGAATCTAGGGACCTCAGCCATATTGGACTAGGCAGGTTAAGCATGAAATATATATATATACATACAAAATGCACCAAAACACGCCTAAAAAACTAACGTACATGTGTAGAAATAACAACCCATCAAAAAAAACCTAACGTACATGTGTAGAAATAACAACCCATCAAAAAGCATCTCACCATGAAAAGTAACCTAAATAGAAATCAATCATCGTAGTGTATCAAATGAATTCTGGCCCTTTAGTTGACCCTTGACATTAAGCAATTTCCAAAGTAAAACATATTTTTTTCTGAATCTTGCAGAGTCAGAACAAATGTCTAATATACTTGTACTTTAAAACCCAAAATTCAAAGTTAATTTTGGATAATAAAAACATACTTGCAGGGTCTCTTGAAAACCCTAGAATTGAAACCAACCAAATTAGTTTAACAAACGAATAAATATCAACTTATCAAAACACATATGTACTTTTAACAAACGATAAGGAAATATATAAGATTTTTTTTTTAATAATATGACTATATGACGTTTTCATCATAGAATACACAACAGAAAATAAAACTGTTAATAGGAAATGTCTTGTCAAGTCCAGGCTTCCCGCTCATACCAAAATATTCATCAATACAAGGACAGAAGCTGGTTCTACAAACATACTGATAGGTTGCTTTATTTGTTTTCCGTTGAAAATATTTGAGAAGAATTAAATATTTGTGTTAACTTGCAAAACAATCATTAATTGAAATTTCGTTATAGATTTTCCTGAACCATGTACAATGTACAGAGATTTGCTTGCCAATTAAAAGGACAACTTCTCAATATTCATCAAGGAGCTTAAATGGTGCATTGCTGGTTATATTTGTATGTTCATTAGTTTCTATCGTACTAGCGTGATAATTCAAGTTGTTCCAACAATTGTTGGAGTGGTTCCGAAGACCAACGACCGGAGCCTTTTAGATTCCTTCAAACATAAGTCAAGAGAAATATATTACGTCTAGACAACTACTACACCTGCTGTACACATGCTTTTAGTAGAAAGTACCATAAATAACTGGTAACTTGTGATGGCCATCGGCTGCTTGTTACCAGTAGATGGATGAACATTGTCTCTGATTTACACCAAACCAGAAACAAATTGCTCCGGATTGGCTAGTGGTACAAAACCTTCTCGACATAACGATTGTCTGGAGTGTTGTTATTAGTGATATACGTTGTTAGACAAGACTTGCGGGTCCATATCTCATATTGCAGGGTTGTGTTGAAGCTTTGATGGAAACTTGCCACCTAACAACGTAGATTTAAAATTTGTCATCTTTCGTTAATCTTTTAGATTCGTCCAGGCTATTATGTGAATAACCATTAACGGTTTTGTTTTTGGTCGCTTCAAACACAATTTTTACGCCCGCTATTCTAAATGTGTAAAACGCCTAGCTCTTTTATCGACCCTTCCCTTCTCAATATCAACTTTGAGACGACTGCCTCCCTGAGAGATTAACACAAATCTTTATGATAGAATGTAATTCTTCGAATAATCTTAAATTATTTGCTTTGGTATTTTATCAATATAATTAATACTGCAATCATGTAAAGGAGTAGTTTGATGTGTGATGCTTAATGACATGTTACATGTATGCTATCAGGGTTTCATTATGGTAGGAATCTAACCCATCTATCCCCCGACTCACCAACCGTTCTTTTCCTATTTATCGGTAGTGGAAGATATTTAATTTTCTGTTTACATGGATACATCTGTGAAAGGGTTAAATGTGTTGTTGTTTGGTAATAAACTATCCTGATTAGCGAGGTTCCTCTAAACGTGAAAACTACCCTCATTTCCCTGGTCTGGTGATTCAATTACACAGACAATAGGCGGAATTATTGGGATCTGGTAAAGGTTGACTATAGGTATTGGAGCCTGCATTCATTTATCGACTGCCTTTAACAGTGTAAGATCGTCAAACGTTAGCGTCAATATTTGTAGCACTACTGGAGTTTTCACATAGAGAGCGTTATTGAAGTTTAAAAGACTCCTATTTAACATATATGACTGTAAGCAACACAATTCTGTTGTTCATGCATGTTCTTCAAGACACCCTTCCATGTTTCTTTGGAAAATGTTTAAACGGAACTTAATTGCATTCATCATAAATGTTTATTAAGATGCATGCTATCCTTTATATACATATATATATATATATTCAAATAAAGTAATTTTCATTCAATGTTTCTTGATATTTTCTTTCTGTTTATGATTCATATTTATACACTGCTTTACCGAATGGTGGAATAGCCATACTAGAGGGAAAAGGTTATATGGTTACACGTACCCATTCTGTTAGGGCGCGAACGTCATACAGAAACCATTACATGAATTTTACGTTACACCATGATCACTCTAACAGTACAACCCGTAGACATCTCCGAACAGTTCCCAATTGGAAAACATTAACGTGTAAATGTTCTTAATGTTAGTTGCTTTTAACAATGGTTTTATTTGGTAGGTTTATCGGAGGGCTTCAAAGGGGAAATGTAAATATTACCGCTGCATAGTACATATTGTAGCATACCGTTCTGAAACATTTTTATTGGCATGTCATCAAACATAACTTTTGCTTGATACCTTTTAACCTTTAAGATATGAATACAAAATATATAGACATTCACTTTTTTAATTACACATTGAACATATAAATAGAGGAAGAAACCATTCAGTCTTTCACCGGAAATGGTTACACTTATAAACCGGTGGGGCTACGATAGAAGATATTTAGCTTTATTGATAAGTTCTGTTTGAATGCTTCCAGTGCCTTCCGAACAAAGAAGTGCATTTTGTGGACAGTGTTATTAGTTTGTCTGCCTTTCCAATCTATCTGACTGACAGAGATTGCTAGCTGTAGACAGAGGCCTATACATTTAAAGGTATGGTCGCGCTAAAGGTACACTCAACCAGAGAATTTCTTGTGAAGCTAACATAGTACAGTTTTGCCATGGTGTTGTAAATGTGATACATCACTGCAGTGTCACTGTAGACGTGATACGGTACTGCAGTGTCCATGTAGACGTGATACGGTACTGTCGTGTCCAGATAGACGTGATACGGTACTGACTTGTCCCGGTAGACGTAATACGGTACTGTCGTGTCCAGATAGACGTGATACGGTACTGCCTTGTCCCTGTAGACGTGGTGTGGTACTGCCAAGTCCCTGTAGACGTGTTACGGTGCTGTCTTGTCCCTGTAGATGTGGTGCGGTGCTGCCTTGTCCCTGTATACGTGATACGGTACTGCCTTGTCCCTGTAGACGTGATACGGTACTGCCGTGTTCCTGTAGACGTGGTACGGTACTTCCTTGTCCCGGTAGACGTGATACGGTACTACCGTGTCCCTGTAGACGTGGTACGGTGCTGTATTGTCCCTGTATACGTGATACGGTACTGCCGTGTCCCTGTAGACGTGATACAGTACTGTCTTGTCCCTGTAATCGTGGTACGGAACTGTCTTGTCCCAATAGACGTGATACGGTACTGTCTTGTCCCTGTATACGTGGTACATGTACGGTAGTGCCGTGTCACTGTAGACGTGGTACGGTAGTGCCGTGTCACTGTACACGTGATACGGTACGGCCTTGTCCCTGTAGACGTGATACGGTAGTGCCGTGTCCCTGTAGACGTGATACGGTACTGCCTTGTCCCTGTACACGTGATACGGTAGTGCCGTGTCCCCGTAGACGTGATACGGTACTGCCTTGTCCCTGTAGACGTGATACGGTACGGCCTTGTCCCTGTAGACGTGATACGGTAGTGCCTTGTCCCTGTAGACGTGATACGGTAGTGTCTTGTCCCTGTAGACGTGATACGGTAGTGCCATGTCCCTGTAGACGTGATACGGTAGTGCCTTGTCCCTGTAGACGTGATACGGTACTGCCGTGTCTCTGTAGACGAGATACGGTACTGCCTTGTCCCTGTAGACGTGATACGGTGTAGTCCCGCCTCCCTGTAGACCTAAAATTTATAGATTTTCGTTTGATGTATAGTGACATTAAAATTACAAATGTTAAGATTTGTTGACCATCATTATTTTAAGAATTTCCTAAATACTCGTTTCAATTTTTTATACGAAACCCGGTATTTGAGTTCAAATTTTAAGTTGTTAGCAATCCTGTGATCCGCTTGCTATTTCTTATCCCTGTGATTTTCACTTTCATAAAAGGTTTATCAATACGTCCATTACTGCTGATGTGTCAATGTTTCTTTAAATCTCGTGGTACTAGTTATGATGTCTAAACAGGAATGATCGTAGATAAGCTTGATTTCTATCAAATGAATTAAAATGGCATCTTGAAAATGTACAACATAGATAAAGAAATAGGTGAAAAAAGTTTGATGTAGGTAAAATCCACCATGGTTACAGCTAATAGAGCAATGAGAAGGGAAAACCCTGAAGGAACGCGATCAATAATCGAAAGGCATCTACTCTACGTTTTTAATGTGCCAACACCACATGTTCAAAACAATCAGTTCTAAGACTGTTAAGCCAACGTCCTAAGCATCTGTGAGTGATCGGTCAAAGTCAATGTTTCCTCAACGCCGCAGTGTCACACATCCGTGGACAAATTAATGTCGTCATAGTCACCGGAATGGTCCGGTTTGTTAGACGCTACAATCGCAGGTGTAGTACCGTTTAGTTTAAATGCGTAGACGTGAATGTCCAATTTTATATTAATCAACCGATCCTTAGAAAGTTTTTTTTTGTCATGTTAAATGAGTCCGCAGCATATGGTATCAGATGGTATCAGTGTAAGCTGTATTTGAGGTAATATTGTTGTTTCTTATCCCTAATCAGGATTGTTTTGTGTTTAATGTCAGGATGAAAGATAAATTTATTTTATCGTGTTCATTACTGTATATGCAGAGTCACAGGTGCTCAATTACGTATGGCCCTAGCTAATCTCTGAGTGTGAACAATTTTTAAAGGTCTAATTCTAATTCTGATTGAATAGTGCGTTGTATTTTTTTCGGCATACGTTTTTGCAGGTTTAAATAGTTTATTTTCAATTGATTAGCATTTTATCTCCATTCTCAACACAGCAGTATGCTGATTAAATATATTTTTGTCGCTAAAATCTTCAGTTCAGATTGTTTTTTTCTATCTTTTATTAAAACAGTTTGTTACAAAAGAACTCCAGATTATTTTATTTTATTACAAACTATTTTCGTCCGCCGATTCTTGCATTTGAATCTTTTCCTGTATTCCCATAAAAAGTGGAGTGAGCCTACACATCGTACAATAGGGCCAGTCCCCTTCATTGCCACACAATAACATGAGTATTGCCAAAAGATAATTGTTCAATTGCTGTAACATACGGGGTCAGTAACAACTTAAACTAACTTCGTGTCTCCCCCTTACATAGATTTGTGTTCCCTTTTACACATTGTATATTTCTGTATGACACTTTATTGATCTTCACAATCAATAAGATACATTACCAGTATGTTAATGTATTTCAAAATATATTTTTGCGTTTTTTTTCGATTGAATTTGTTTTCTGTTGCGAGTCGAGCCCCGTGGATCCGGGCTCCATTTATCAGGATAACTTGATAGAAATATCATCATTTGTCCAGAAAGATAACCAGTCTAGATTTGTTCGCTTTAAAGCTTTTTACGTGGATCAATATAGTTCGACTGCAGCTAAGTTTGTTAAAATTCTTGTGCTTTGCAATGTTTGCTTTTCTGTGGATAAGAAGTCTACAAGAATATCACGTTCTAATTTTGAATATCCCATCTATCAAATGATCGGTTGTTTAGTGTTTTGGGATAGGTATGCAGGTAGTAGCACATATGTTTCGGTTTATAAGGCAAATCACTTATTCATCACCACAGGATATTCGCATTTAATCATTCCAAGTTCCAACGATTAAAACCTACACTCTTATAAACCATAGACTGCTAAATGTTCCTATTGTTGGTTTTATAGTTTGTTGCAAATTTTTGTTGTATTTTGATTTTTGGTTCCGTGGTCGTGAATAGCTGCGGCTGTCATTTCCTGTCATTCAGATGGGTTTGTGTTGTTCAATGTACACAAAGCTGTATCATGTTGTGGTTATCACCTTTTATTTTTGTAAAGTCTCCAGCCATTTTCTTTGTATGAATTAAATATACTTGTAACTTTGGTATATCTATACCACTTGTAACTATACCTTCGGTTTCTAGTTGGAAGCTTTCTAACATCTGAGTATGAGCAATTGTTATACTGTCCCAGTTTGAATTCCAATATTTTTATATTAATTTTGTAAATTAAACATCCTTTTTTGAGCAGTTATATAGACTTTTGATATTTGGATTTCTGGGATATATTTTCCTTGTTTCCTTGACGCGTTACTTACTACAACGTACATTATTTGAGTCCGGTTGCCGTCTCTAGAAAAAAGTATTTAAACTTTTTTTAGAGGTATAATCATTCAAACGAATTGGTACACGCGATCAAAAGAATGTTTTGATAAAAGCGCACAATTAATTTCTCTCTCGCGAAAACATTGATTCTGCAATAGACAGAAGTCAATCTGACTCAAAGCCTATTACATGTAATAATATAACGACTTTAACGGTATGATTATAACCACTTTCTAACGATTCGCCTAACGACGTCACCAATGAAGATAGGAAATAATGTGAACTTCTAAATAGGGTCTGACGGAATCGGACATAAAGTGTTCAAACAAAAGGAAAAAATTAAATTGGAATTACCCTTTTCTCACCTTTTATCATTCCTAAAAAACTGGTTTACAGTCTGAAAGAATCTTCTAATATTTGTTTGTATTTAACGAGCCAGTCGAAAACTAATCTTAGTACATTGCTCATTCCTGATAACTTTAATTATAAATTTCAGTCTAGATGTTTCCTAATTGTCTTTTACCATTAACTCTTCGAAATCCATTATTTCATGCTTTTAACATTCGTCAGAAAAAACACACATCGCTTGTTCTTCTTGCGATTTCTCAAAAGCGTTTGCAATTTCAGAGAGATATCTTCATTAAATAATCAATCATCATTTTCGTTCTCCACATCACCAAACTTAAATAACACTATATTTACGTGAATGTACGAAGGCAATAAAACACAATTAAACTTATCCAAAGGCTGGTTAATGTAAAATAAATCATTAACCACGATTGTGTCTTATGCAAATTTATCCTTTTCAACTCAATTTCGCTGTTAGCGTGCTCCTACTTTATAAACACACCAGCACAACCACCTTAATTTATATGTAATGTAAATTTTTAAACGGCAAATGAAGCAAATGCAGACAAGCTATTAAAAACCTGTCAAAGTACGAAGAAACACTTCAGAAAAAGAAAATAGTTACTGGAGGAAATATTGAGAAAAAGTTTCGTATCTATTCGACATTTAATAGCATCTTCATGTATAATGTAGGACCATTGTGGAGTTAAAACATCGCCAATTCTTTGTCCGGTATTATACTGCATAAATTGTTACAAGGCTTCCATGAATATTTTGGTATTTATTCTGGATTTGGGATTCTCGAATAGGAAATCGTGCCAGTTCTCTTAGCTTCTACTTTTCAGAGGAAACTTAACTAGCCTAATGTATATGTGGTTACCCATATGAATATTGGTTGTATTCCTTTTACATCTGCCTTCCACATACAGGTCAACGTATTTCGTATTTCCTATATTTATCCGTGGGTTTTCTCCGGTAACATTTCTCCCCACACACCCCGCGCGCTACCATCCACACAGCAAGAGTGAGTAATATAAGTTGAAAGAAATCGTTCTGCATTTGTTTTCAAAATAAATAAGGTTCAATTAATTTTCAATATTGAAATATTACACATTCTAACACGATTCGTCTGCAACGCGTGTTTTGATTGGATACGGACCATGTTCTAATCTATCGGTCTCGAGTTCAAACCCAAATGTCATGTTCTAATCGCCAGTATATATATATATATATATATATATATATAGCCACTCAAAACAACGTACTATCCCCTAAATAATGAATAGCCGACAAAAACTGTGTCAAATTTTGCAATACCAATCGTGAAACTGTTTCAGATTGTATATATGTAATACAAACTGTGTATATAATTCCGCTTGTGTAATACAAACTGTGTACTTAACTTATTAATCTTGCATAAGACCAATTGTGTACCTCATTCAACTTTGTGTAATACAAGTTTTGGCATGACAAAAGGCATAGCTATTTACGTGTTATGTTATTAGCACGTGACAACGTATCGTTAAATAAGTGATAGTGATAACTTATTATTGCGGAAATATACTTAAAAAAGTAAAGTTAAGAAACAGTTTTAGCAAATAATACATTCGTTTTGATTAACTGTCGTTAACTGCCTACCCTCATCCCTACTCCCGAGACATACGAATCAGAATAGCCTGACGTTTTATAGCACTGAAAACAAATGATTATTGTTCGATTTGCAAGTTTTGAATCGCAAACTGTCACATTTGTCTATATAAAAACTATCTGAAGCGTATGTTTCGATGCATTTTAACAGGTTTGTAATTAAAATGTAGATTAACTGTTACATTTGTCAAGATAATTCAATACAGCTGTCAGAAATTCACAAAAAGGCTCCTGCTGGATACTGTTGGACTGGGGTTTACCGTAAAACAATGTAGTCCTGAAAATCAATATAATCAAATTGCACACTTTGGCTTTGGCTTTTGTTGCCGTGGTTTTTGATATATGTAAGGATGGGTTTCATAAAAAGAACCGGAAGGTAACTCAATTTCGACAGAAGCTGTATTTTTCTTTGTACACGCTTCTGTAAGTAAGCCATACAGTTACTATATAAGACTGTTTCAAACCTTAATGCTGATCCAGGT